CTTATCCTCCGCCATTCCCAAGTCAAGGGTCATATATACTGATCGAATAGCATATCTTGAAAATTAGAGCCAATCAACAATTTTAAGCATCATTTTCGTTTTCAGTGACCCAGAATTAGTAAAGTTTGACTACATTTATTTCAGAAGCATTTTGGCTGTAGAGCAGTGTAATAATTTATTCCCACCTTTCTCAATCTTGTCTATTTAGACTATATGCTCTTCGGAGCAGGGACAGACTCTTACTGTATCTTTGTATAGCACCTAGAACAATGGGGCCTTGGGCTCTGTTGGCGCCATAACGTGCTACTGTCATACAAACTTATTGACAAGTTAATAAAATTAGCCTGATTTCAAAGGTGCTTGTTGCCTGCTCCCATTGGTTGCAGAGAGATCTGAGGCTGCTCAGCAGGTCTGAAAAACAGACAGTTTATAATGAGGTGAGTAAAGGTATGCACCCATTTTTTAAAAGCATGGTCATAGTGTCCAGCTCTCTAAAGAGAGGTGAGAACAGAATACTGTATTTACAGGAACACCTTGCTAGTCAAGTATCATTTCAATACATTTCTGATAAGGCAGTTACTTAACCAAACAGCTGCTTTGGCCAATGTGCTTTGCATAACAGGGATGAAGGCCTAGAATTTCTGGATTCCAGTGGGAACGAAGCACACCTTGGGAGCTGTGGCGAGCACTCTCCTGAAGAAAGGCTGCAGAAGTAATCAGAGTGAGTGCTACACACACTCTGGCTGTTAGATACACTGAGTAGGAGAGAGTCTTTTTGTTCTCAGTAAGAGAGTGGGTCAAGGCCTCTATCTAGGATAGAGCTTGGTGCAGTTGGCAAGAGTTGGGTGGTTGTTTATTCTGCACCCAATGAGGATTCCTTGGAGCATGAAGGGGCAGATGAGGACCCCTAGTTGCTTGGATGTTTACCTTAGATTTGGTTTTATGTAGATGCTAATGTTAAATGTGCTTAGAATATCCACCCCTTCATTCTCTGCCTGTCTTTGGCAGTGAGTGAATGTCTGTCATATGAATGTCTACAAAAAATTACCGTTTTAATGACCTGTTTGCTTCAATTAAGGCTGAGCTATTATCTTTCCAAAGGGGAGAGGGAGGAGCAGATCAGCAGGACGTGTGAGCAGAGCATTTAAGGGGCCAGCTGAAATGCCATGTGTGTGGATTTGGAAAGGCTGTGTGATGAATCTGTGACATGGCAATATTTCAGTCATCACATTTCTGACTTTGGTTCATGCATCATTTGCTATGAAAGTTTTGAGATTTTAATCAGTGTTTGAAGAGTAAATTGATATAGTCTAATCATTTTGAATCTCTGGCAAACTACCAAAGTGTATTATGTTAAGTGTATGTTATGTATTATACAAGCTGCTTGCTGAAAATTAATTGAGTATTCCCGTGCTAGATAATGTTTCCACGTTCCCTGGAGCTCATCCCTTTGCATGTGAGTGTTTTCCCAAATGCAATGCAGATGTCAGAGAAAAGGTGAATCTATAACATATGTAAAAGACTGGCTTTGTCACACACAATATAGTATCAAGCTTTCTATCCCTGTTTACTGGTTTGTGTGGTTGTTGATTTGTCTACATAATGTGTAATAGAAAATCTGCTGGACACAAAATGAAATGTATCTTCAAAAGCAGCAAAGTAAAGGCAAGCCTGTGCCACAAGACTATTAAATAAAAACCCAGATGTGTTCGCATTCCCTCCTATGAATTATATGGCTTGGCATGTGGATTACACCATATAAATGACAGATTTAAGTCCTCAGTCAATATAGTAGGACATTTGCTATTGTATGGTGTCTTAAAGAGCCAGTTGATTACCTATGTAATGTTCATCTTCCCTCTTCTGCCTGAAGTGCACTTGAGACAACTCTCTGGTCAAATGTGTAGAAACATGTTCATTCTCAAGCCTAAGCATAGAGGGAGAAAGTCATTCATTTCCCATGAAGAGAGAACAATTCATGTAATTTGTGTCATTTCCCCCTTTGATTAAAAATATGAGAGGCTTTTACTGACTTGGGAGAGGGGGTCAGTTCATCCCTCTTGACCCCAGATAAGGTGAAGCCCAAAGATGACTGTGGGTAGAAATGGGATTTGAAAGGCCCTTGTCCCTTCACAAAAGGGCCATGACTATATTCAGTGGATTTAGTATGCTCACTGGCTTCGAGGATTTGATATATAGTAACTCCTCACTTAACGTTGTAGTTATGTTCCTGAAAAATGCGACTTTAAGCAAAACGATGTTAAGCGAATCCAATTTCCCCATAAGAATTAATGTAAATGGGGGGGGGGGGTTTAGGTTCCAGGGAAATTTTTTTCACCAGACAAAGGACTATATATATATAGTCTTTTGTCTGGTGAAAAAAATTTC